AGAATTATTGAGAATTCCAAAGGGCTTTTGTTTGTGTTTATCAATATTTTTACTGTATTAGAAGTTAAAACTGACAATCTTTAAAAGTATTTATGTATTCATTGATTATTTGAAAGTATTGGATCAACTGAGTTATGCAGATATTCAAAATGTCAATATGTTTCATTACACAACTAGAGACCAGTGCATGAATTTCATGCACTGGGGGGGGGGGGGGGGGGAGTGTCCCTCAGCCCAGCCTGTGCCTTCTGGCAATCTGGAAACCCTCGGGGGATGTCCAACTAACAGCTTAGTCCCACTTCCCGAATTTAGCTCTGCCATGGAGGCAGAAGAGGCCCCCACCACCATCACTGTGCTTGCCAGCCATGAGCCTGGCTCAGGGCTCTGGCTGAGCTGCCACACCTGTGGGAGCACACAAAGATGGCAAGCGCCAAGGAAAGTCCACCTACAGGGGTGCCCGATGTGCCAGATGCGCCCATCCACTGCAGGAGTAGTGCCCCTCAAGTGTCACTGCTGTGATGGATAAGTCTTTGGGGAGCACAGGTTCTTAAACTGACCCCAGACTCCCATCGCTGACTGACTACAGGGGACTAGCCACAGCAGGGAGCCCCATGTCAAGAGAGCTGGGTGTAAGCGCAGACAAGGAAGTTAGGCAATGGAGTTGTCCTGGTTTTCACAGTGAAGAGAAACGAGTGATTATAATCTGATAAATACATTATTCCTAATACAACCTTAAAGTCAAATGTTTTCCCTTTTAGACCAGCTTTTATATTTGGGGTGACTCATCCTATCTAATAAAAGAGTCATATGCAGATTGACCATCACTCCAACATACAAGATAGCTGCCCCTGTGTGGTCAAAGATCCTGTCCCCATGTGGACACAAGATGGCCACCACAGGATGGCCAGCAGGAGAGGGCAGTTCAGCAGGACCAGGCCTGCAAGGGAGGGCAGTTGTGGGCCATCAGGCCAGCAGGGGAGGGCAGTTGGGAGGGACCAGGCCTGCAAGGGAGGGCAGTTGGGGGCGATCAAGTCTGCAGGGGAGGGCAATTGGGGTTGACCAGTCTGGCAGGAGAGGTCACTTAGGGGCAAACAGGCTGGCAGGGGAGCAGTTAGGCATCAATCAGGCTGGCATGGAAGTGGTTAAGGGGTGATCAGGCTGGCAGGTGGAAGCAGTTAGGGGCAATCAGGAAGGCAAGCAGGCGAGAAATTGGGAGCCAGTAGTCCTGAATTGTGAGAGGGATGTCCAACTACCCATTTAGGCCCGATCCTATTGGGATCATAACAAAATGGGAAGTAAGACATCCCTTTAGGGGTCCCAGATTGGAGAGGGTGCAGGCTGGGCTGAGGGACAGACCCCCCCCCCCACTCTCTGCACAAATTTTGTGCACCGGGCCTTTAGTATAAAATAATCTTGTAGATCTCATTCTGACGAGTTATCTGATGAAGTCCTGATATTTTCTGGAGCCCAAAACAATTGGGAAATGGACCCGAAATCAGAGAGAGCAGTATGTTTAGGAAGGCATATGCCTTGTCTTTTGCTTCGAAGTTCAGAAAGCAGTGATACTCACAACCCCTTTACTTAACTCCAAGGCTTGAGTTTCACAATGATCTCCACATTTATCATAAGGTCCTTTAAAGCATGTTTCCATTTCAAGATTGGGGAGGGGAGCAAATAATTAAAATTACAAATAAACCATTGTAATGTTTTCAGTTCCTTGTTGTATTATGAAGAAAATCCTTGAAATCAGCAATAATAGAACTTCCATTCCTCAAAAGTCCCCACTCTGGAATAGGATTTTATTTTGGGTTTGTCTAAAGACCAAAAAACTGTCTGCCTCCATAATGCTAACACCTAGTCTCCAGTAGGCTTGTCTGAATCATCTATTGGAATGCTGATTCTGATAAACAAATCTCATCTGAGCCTGAGCTAGCTAAGTCAATCAGTTTAATTCAGTTCACCTGTGGTTTGCTGAATCTGAATTTTGCTGTATACCTGTCACCATGGAAGTATGTCTCTAAGTGTCAGTATGTTTGGGAGTAAAAAAAAAAAAAAAGCCCATGTTTCTAAAAGTAATGGAATGTGTTTGCCAATCTCGGGAATACTAATTACTTACTTTTAGCTTTTCTCCCTACCTGTCCCTCAAGAATTTGGCAGTGCTTAATTGATAAGTGATGGTAACACTTTTCTTTGTATAAATCCAAGAAGACCAGTTCCAAACTATGGTCTTATTGACCAAGACTTTGACATGAAGAGAGATTCATGCCTGGATTCTGGATGTCACCAAAATGCCTTACAAAATCAAGACTGACCCTCAAACTGATCAAAGCCAACCAAAAGCCATTGGCAAAAATGGCCTGACATCTTGCTTGGTCACATGGTTCATGACAGTCTTTCCAGGGAAGGACTGAAGGTTGCTTTCCTGAAATACAACACTAAACGAACTTCAAAACACCTTGGGGGACCTCAAGGATGTAATGACTTGACCCAAATGTATAGGTGTTCTGGGCATAGCCTGGTGGAAAATGGTCCCTGGTTTCTGCCGTGAGTGGCTGACTGCTGACTAAAAGTCAATCTACAGATTCCTTATAAATAAGTAAGATTCTAGGCAAACAAATTTGATCAATTGCTACTCTTGTGTTTATGCAAATAAGTCAAACTAAAACTGGACTTAATACAATCTTCTTAAACATGAGAGAGAAAAATTGTGTTTCAATGAAAACTATAATGCCCAATTGTGTGTATTGGTCTCCAGTGCAGTTAACTGTCTTCAAAGTTTTGTTTTTAAGTCTGTGTCTGTGTATGCCATACAGCATCTAATGACATCACCAGAGATGTTCTAACTGCAATCTATGAGATTGTCACTGCTTACTTTCATTCCAGCAAAGCTTTGCATATAGAAATCTTTGCAATTGGTTTATGATTTGCTGTGTACATTAACCTTTCTTGCTTCTGTTATAGAATATGTGCCTATGTCCTCATTTACCTGAGTGCTTGGTCACAAAATATAGGCCTCACTTTAGAAACTGTCTACATCACTGTCTTCTGAAATGAGACTCAATGAGACTAAGTCGATGAAAGATGAATGGTCTATCGGCTTCACTTGAAACTTTTCTGTTCAAACAACAGAAAAGACTAAGAGGGCCCACAGTTTCTCATGGGGGAAATCTCAGTATATTTCCTTACCTTAATTAAGATAAACTTTGGAGAACAAAAAGACTTCAGACAGCTACACACATCTACCTCCAGGGAATCCACTCTAATCTAATCAGGGAAACTAAGTTAATCTTTCCCTTTATCAAATGGGTTTTGCCTCTCACTAGACCTTTAGATGTTTCCTCATTTCCCCCCCTCACTTTTCAATTGTGTCTTTTAACCTTGTCAAATTGGTCATTTCTAGGCTACAAGGACTCCAGCTTGTCCAAAAAGTCATCATCCATGTCACCTCCCAGGGGACACTAGATTCACCTGGACTTTGCAAAATTCCTCTTCTCTGCACTAGAACTCCTTTCCTTTTTGCTTCCCCTTTCCTCTGGCAGATGGAGAAGAACCTCTGAACCTTGGGACAGATAGGTTTTCACCCCTTGGTAGCAGGAAGCAGTTACAAGAAGACAGACCCTGTCTGTTTCTCCTTTATAAGGTTACAAGAGATGTGTCCCTCCCTCCCCTCCCCCGAGTGTAATAACCTGGTTATTAATGAACTGGAAAGGAACAAGGGAGGCCAAATATTATAGGCATACCCAGTAAATAAGGAATAAAAATAGAATGAAACCTGAAAGCCAGATGGATTAGAAACACAGGGCTGGAGCTCCCAGGTTTTCACACTCCTTTCCAGTTGTCCAGAGGAGCTCATGTAAGGACTTTTCCTTTAGATCACATGTGTCAAACACAAGGCCCGCGGGCCAAATCCGTCCCGCCAGGCCTTGCAATGTGGCCCGCACTGCGCTGTCATCACTGCGCTGCGTTTCCATCACAATGACAGTTTATGACTGTTCAGTAAACCATTCGGCCCGCGATTTAGGCTGGATTTTAGATTTTGGCCCCTTCTCTGATTGAGTTTGACACCCCTACTTTAGATAAAAAGATACACACATACCAACTAACCAAGATTCCTAAGTCTAATCACATATTCTTCAAGGTCAGAAGCACACTGGATAGGAAAAATGAAAGGGACAATTCTAATGCTGTTTTTACTTAAAATTTTATTGAACTCCCCTCTCATCCCATTTGAGCTCCATTAAGTGAATGAAGAAACGTGTAAAATCTGAGCCTAATGGTGTTCTTTCCAAATTATGTCTTAAATCTCTGAAAATGTGACTTTTGAGAGTTGGGAAAGTGAAGCTAGGACAAAGGAATACTGATTACTTATTTTACATGGCTGCTTCCTTGTTTATTCATGAGCAGAGCTAGACTAAGAAACCTTTCTATGAAAATGGAAAGCTTGTGTGCAGAAGCATAATGCTTAATGCTGACCTATCTTCTCTGGCCAGGGAAGGCAAGAAACAGTGTAGGTAGGGTAAGAAAAGACCTTAGAAAACGGGATGAAAGGAGTTTCCTTTTCATTATCCATGACAGGTTATTCACAGAGTCTGTGTGCTACATCAATGCATTTATGTCACCAGCATTAGAGTCTTTGTGCTTCTGTCAATCAGTTTCCTCTTTAAACTATTTTCTTTCTATAACCTACTGTAGAATTTGTAAGCCCAGTTTTCCTTGTTTAAGCCTATGAAGAATTGGCCAAAATGACTAAGTTTTTTAATATCTTTTATCTGTCTCTAGTTGGAGGTGTGTGTGTGTGTGTGTGTGTGGTTTTTAATAAGAGCAATAACAAATGCCATAAAATTATTTAATGTCTTTATATCTACTTGTAGAGACAATCCTCTGTAAGAGATCATGAATAGTTTCTCACATAGTCAAGTCACTATTTTTTAAAGTATTACATAAATTTGAAAATATTACCTAAAGGTACTTTACATTGAACAAATCTAGAGTATACCTAGTTAAAATATTTAGGAAGTCCTTTATTTAACTACTATTCATAATTACTCTGCTGTGAATTTGAATATATAAATATAACTTTGCTTAGTTAGTAAGTGGTTGATAGCTGTCCACTCTTTGCAAAAGTGTATCTGAATATCCAGGAGAATAATACCTGAAAAAGAAAAAAAATATTAGATACTGGTAAAAAGATTTAGCCCAGGAGGCATAAAAGATTCAATAAAAGGTTGTATTTACCTCAAGTAATTCTAAGCATCAAACCTCTGAATAATTATGCTCCAGTAATGCTTGTGCACAAGGCTAGAGCCTTTCAGGAAAAGAACATTGCCCTGGCTGGCTTGGCTCAGTGGATAGAGCATCAGCCTGTGAATGGAAGGGCCCCAGGTTCGATTCCAGTCAAGGGCACATGCCTGGGTTGGGGCTTGTCCCAGTGGGGGGCATGCAGGAGGCAGCTGATGAAGATTCTCATCACTGACGTTTCAATCTCTCCCTCTCCCTTCCTCTCTGAAAGCAATAAAAACATAAAATAAAAAAAAAAAGAACATTGCTCTGGCCATGTGGCTCTGTTGGTTGGAGTGGCATCCCATACACCAAAAGGTTTCAGGTTCGATTCCCTGTCAGGGCACATACTGAGGCTGCAGATTTGAGGTGCATATGGGAGGCAGCCGGTCAATATTTTTCTCTCTCCCTTCTTTCCTCTCTTCCTCTTTCTAAACATATCCTCAGGTGAGGATTAAAAAAAAAAGAGAGAGAGAACACCAACTCACAAGATTGTGCTAGGTAAATAAAACACTTAAGGGTTTTCAATGCAGTGGCAAAGAATGGATACTTTCAAAGTAAGATACTTGGACCCAGTGATAGTATTTATTAAAGCAAGTTGTTTTATTATGTCAAGTGACTGATGTTGCTTTAATCTTCATAACAAATAGATTTTTTATAATAAGTTAGACAACACAATCTATCATTACTAACCATCTCCTGCATTCAGATTGTCGTAGGGATTATTCACAAAGCAGTTTTAATCAGGTCTGGTCAAACAAAAAAAAATTTTGGGGAGCATAATTCATATTACAGAACTATTTCATAAGTGTTTTACAAATATACATCATACATACCTAGGAAGTTAATTGATTTTATTTGTTCTTGGGCATCTATAAATTTGTATTTATAAATAGAACATTTTATAAAAGACAGTATAGAAGTATTAAATATATCGATTAATATACTGTGGGATGATTCATATACTATGGAAAGAACTTACATGAATATAAAATATGTCAAATAAAATTTGGCAGACATTCTGGAATATAATAAATGACTAAAAAACTAAACTATAATTTAAAACTTTAGAAAACACTTAAAATAACGAATACTCATAAGGTGTTTTCTCCAGATAAAACCTAATGTTCGAGACTGCGTTGTCCTTTGTTAGTTATCTTTATCCTTGGATGCTTGACTTAAAAATTCATAACTGAGAGTATACTAATTTATTCCATAATTTGTCAAGTTATAGGACTAAAGAGCTGTATTTTCTCAATAGTGTGCTCTTATAGGTAGCCATAAACAGATACCTACAAACGTAAAAAGCTACCTTAAAGAATGCTGTTTCTCTAAAAGCCTCTTACTCTAGAAAAGTCCTTCAACAAGTGGATCTCTTCAAAGTATTCATACACTGAGGAATTCACAACTGCTTTCTCTGAGTTAGTCACAAATTTTAAAGTAAACCTCACCTTCCTCGGCCTTATAAATATGTCAGACACAAGAAAGGTACTTTTTAATTTTAATAGCAAGAAGTAGATTACAAATAAAAACCCAAACTTTAAAAATTGTGCTACTATATGGTAGGTACTAACCACATATTCTTATAAAGGAATTGAAATGAACCTCCAAAAAAGAAGATGAAATTCCTTTTTTCCTGCCCGTCAACCACTGCTATTCCACTTTATTTCTCTATGGCTTTAAAAAAAATAGTTGTTCAAACTTTTAAAAAAATATCTTTATTGATTTCAGAAAGGAAGGTAGAGGGAGCGAGATGGAAACATCGATGATGAGAGAAAACCATTGATTGGCTGCCTCCTGCACACCCCCAACTGGGGATCAAGCCCATATCCTGGACATGTCCCTTTGGCCAGGAATCAAACCTGGGACCCTTTAGTCTGCAGGCTGAGTGAAACCAGCTAGGGCTCTCTATGGCTTTTAAGAATATAACTGAATTAACCTTACCATAGATCCATGTAGAATTTGGATTATTATACAGTTACCATTACCAGAAATGTGCCAAATGGAAGACTTGCATGCATGCTTCTCTCCCCAGATTAGAAGATTCCTAAAAGCATCTTCCACTCCCTTATTTAGGCAGAGATTCAAAAGACAAAAGAGTTCCAAAAATATCTCTGACTGTGGTGTGAATGAGGATTAGAACTTAAATCTTCTAACCTCTAGTCCTGGGTGCCTCCTCTCTAATCATACCAACTACCTTTATTAGAAAATTTTAAAGATTATTAAAATTGGAAATATGATTATAAAAATAAAACCATTTAAAGGTTATATTGTCTCTTTTCATAAACAATGTTTTAAAGATTTCTATAAAACACCATTTATAGAATTCATAAACAATGTTTTAAAGATTTTCTATAAAACACCATTTTAATGTTTTAAAAATATATCAGAAATTTGAAAAAGTCAGCTAACCAAAATTCTTCATGATAATTAGCCTATCTATCTATCTATCTATCTATCTATGGCTAATATGCAAATTGCCCCCATAGGAATTTGACCAGGAGACTGATCACATGCTATTGATGTGTGTTGACCACCAACGGGCACTACAGAATTAGGGGAGGCCCTGGATAGCAGCTGGCAGCAGGGAAAGGAGACCCTGGCCGACAGCTGGAAGGCCCTGATAGGCCCTGAATGCTAGCCAGGCCTAGGGATCCTACCTGTGTACAGATTTCATACCCAAGCCTCTAGTTTTAAAAATAAAATACCAGATCACAGAATATTAGAAGTGAAAAATTTACAATGGTATTTTGACAAAATATCAAATTAGATTCTAACATGACAGAGGTTTTTTTGTTTTTTTTTTTCCCTTTGTGCTCTGTAAAATAATCTTGGATAGGTGTAGAAAGACAACTTCTGTTCAAGAAAGTTCTTTACCATTGGTTAATTCTTTTTTTTTTTTTAATATATTTTATTGATTTTTTACAGAGAGGAGGAGAGAGGGATAGAGAGCTAGAAACGTCGATGAGAGAGAAACATCGACCAGCTGCCTCTTGCACACCCCCTACCGGGGATGTGCCCGCAACCAAGGTACATGCCCTTGACCGGAATCAAACCCGGGACCCTTCAGTCCGCAGACCGACGCTCTACCACTGAGCCAAACCGGTTTCGGCCCATTGGTTAATTCTAATAGGCCATTTCATTTGGGGGCCCTTTAGTTTTCATTTTTCTATAATTTTGTTTATGTTAGAAAATTGTATTGGAAGTTATTTTAAACTTACCAAAATAACATTCTTCCAAAAGGGATGTGCAAATGTGTAAAAAGTATTTTTTTCTTGAGAAAAGATTTTTATATTTTCTCCATTTAGTAGTTTTACACATAATGTATATCCTATATAATAAAAACCCAATATGCTAAGTGCCTGGTCAACTGGTCGGCCATACAACCAAAAACAGCATAATATTCTAATGATATGCTAAGGCTGCTTAACTTTTTGCTATGACGTGCACTGACCACCAGGGAATGTGCTCTGACCAGTAGGCTAGCTTGCTGCTGGGGCCCAGCCAATCGGGACTGAGTGAGACGGGCTGGACACTTTCTGAAGCCCTTCTGCGATCCCTCCTCAGCTGGCCAACCTCCCATGTTCCTCCCTGGCCCTGATTGTGCACCGGTGGGGTCCCTCGGGCTGGCCTTCACCCTCTCACAATCCAGGACCCCTTGGGAGATGTCAGGGAGCCGGTTTCATCTCCATCCCACAGGCCAGGCCAAGAGACCTCACTGGTGCATGAATTCATGTACCAGGCCTCTAGTGTTATATAAACTTTTCGATATATTTGTAAAGTATATATAGTAGAAATACATTTTATGATATACTATTCCTTGGGTATATTGGAACTCTTTTGGTCAAGGAGTTCTCATAAACTTCCAAAGGGCATAAACTTATCTCTTTAGAAAGAATTTATCTGTAGAATATATGTGAACAGAAGACAAATTTTAATCTTAAATAAAATTATTTTTGTGTTTTTAGAATCAATGTTACCATATGTATTAAGAATCACTAATATTAAATAGGGAGAATCATTTATACGTTACTAGAGGCCCAGTGCATGAATTTGTGTATAAGCAGGGGACCGATTGGGGTTGGGGCTGGCTGGGCAGAGGGGCCCTGGGCAGTTGGCTGGTCAGCCCTGCCCCCTAATTGAATTCCCAGTTGAACTCCTGGTCAGGGAAAAGAGTTTGCATATTAGCCTTTTATTATATAGGATAAAAAAATTTTTTAATTGGAATTATATTCTCTAATATTAATTATAGAAAGTAAATAATAAGTATAGGATGAGAAAAATATGGCCTTTAATTCTGCATGTGTTGTGGGCATTTTTTCCATATAATTATTTTGGGGTTAGTGATATGGCTCTCTTTTAGGATTACAAGATCTGAGGCTTAGGTTTAACCCTCTTCAAATCAACCTCATTAAAAAAATTAATCTTAAAAGTAGCTTCCTCCTACATTACCATAAAACACCTGCATATCATAGACAACATTATTTATTTATTTTTCAAATATGGATTGTTTTCTTTTTGACACTCAACATATCTCTTTTTCTATTGTAATACTCCTGTTAATAGAAGTGTGAGCTTAATTATATATCTGGGGAACTATGAAAATCAGAATCCACAGGCCCTTTTCTAAATCATAATGTATATCCTATATAATAAAAGTATATAATAAATTAAAGATTAAGTTAATTTGAACTCTGTATTTGGGTATTTTTTAGTGAAGCATTCTTAAATTAGTACAGAAATGTCTCAAATGCCATTCCAGTTTAATTTGGAAATGTGTGTGCCAATCAGAACATTATTTAATTTGAGGGGGAGAAAGTGATCAAGAGCAGGGGTGAAGATATGCATTAGTTTCATGCAATATTTTGACAGAGTGGATATAAAATATAGATTTGAAAACAGAAAAACCACATTCTGGTTTTGAACATCTCAAAGTCTGTTTTTCCCACCTTACTATTTCCTCTGGGTAGCAGTTGTTAATGCTGTTGATGTATTCCTGTAGAAGAGACCCAGGTTCGGCTTTTATCTCTTGAACCTTTTTAAGCCCACCACTTGTTACAAACAGTCGTCGAGCTTTGCTGTCATGCGGCAGCACCTTGAAAAGGGAAGCACATTAAGATGTCAGATTTGCTTTTCCAAGTGGGAGTATTACTGCTGAAAAGCAATAATATATCTGAGAAAATGTAAGAGAGAATGTGTGTCTACCATACCTGTAACATAATGAGCCTAAATTTGCTGGTGACTAAAGGTAAAATTCAGTCTTTTTAGAAATGTATGAACTTTTTATGTTGTGCATATGGAATAAAGGCAATGAAAATGAGCAAAGGCAATGGAGATCCACTCATGTACATGAAACAGAGTGTTGTGTCTCCTTTGCTTTCCCCCATTCAACATCTTCCCACTACCTACAGAATTAAAGGCACACACCTTAACAAGGTGCAGAAAGCTTTCCGTGACCCAGCTTCCTTTCCCACCAATCTCTATCCAAAATTTTGTCCAATAATCTCAAAGGGTACATGACAGGCCATTTCTTGCCTTTGTCCATGCTGTTCCCTCTCCTAGAATGCCCTTCCATCTTTCACGCACCTCCCCCCATTTCCTGGCTAATGCTTGCTTGTCTTTTAAGATTCAGCTCAGGTGTTACCTCCTTTAAGAAACTTCCTCCGAGACATCCCTACTCTCTTTTCCCAGGATGACAGGTACTTTTTTTCTCTCATGGCATTGTATTAAGCCCCATACACTTGCCACAAAACATTTAAATGATCAGTCTGCACACATAAATGTCATGAAGGCAGAAACTGTACATTTATCCATTAATTTATTTCTCTAATGCCTGGTGCCTAATAGATGCTCAATTAACGTTCAACAAAGGAATGAAGTACGAAGGAGTAGGCAGGGAAAGGAAACTGAGGAGATGTTAAAGAGATAGAAGAATCAGGAAAGTTGAGAAATCAACCCAAGAGAAGATTTTAAGATTTTAAGAAGCAGCCAATAAGAACTACAAAAAGTCACTGGGCTTGATAGCGGATGTGTGTGTGTGCTGAGAAGAAAGAGCCAGTGCAGATGAAGGAACTGATTATGCACGACAGCAGCTGACCAGACAAGGAAGGTCCTGGAAAGGGGTTTCTCAATGTGGGGATTCCTACTCCCTTCTGTGGTCCTCGCTACTATTCCCTCTGACAGAACACCCTTTCTATCTCCACCATTCTGACTCTTTCTTAAATACTACCAGCTTTTATTCACTTGCACTTCCTCCACTAAAACCCCCCAGGAATACCTCAGACTACATCCACTTATTCCTTCTTTTTAGAAAAGTTCATTATGAAGCCTCCCACACTGAAGTACTTTCTAATTGTTTCTTCTGGTCTCCCCAGCTAGATTGCAAAGTCCCTTGAAGAACATTGTCTTACTCTTTTTTGTTTTATCTCTCAAAGCTTCACAGGGTACGTGTAGGCATTTAACAAATACTGAAAACTACAAAAGGATCAGGCTAATAGAATGTTAATACACATCACCTGGACAGTAAAAGATTTCACTATCATATATTTTTAAAAAGTGGAATGGCCCACAGATATATCAGTTTTAAATATTCTTTGGTCTGGAGAGTTTTCATGCCTCCTATGTCTGTCCCCAGGCACAGTAAACTACTATCTTTTTACCTTATGCCTTGCTTTCCCATCTCTTTCTAATGTTCTGGTATCCTTACATTAAGAAAACACAAAATTCTGTCTGAAGTAAATATTCCCATAGGCATATTTATAGGAGTACATAATATGAGGTACTGTCTTTTTTATTGTAGCTGTCTAACATTTCAAAAATTTCACTGATTTATTTTTATTTACTTCAATGACTAATTTTTCTTAAGTCAAGGCTCCTGAGCACAGTTTAACCAGTTCTTGGTAGATTAGGGTCACCATCCTGGCCATTAGTGGCTGTGGCAATGCGGTCATTCTCTTTGCCATTAGCAGTCAGTCCTGCTGGCTGCTGCCCACCGCTAGCAACCTGACCTTCCTACTTTACTACTTTTAATCTGTACCAATCTAAGAAATGTAACAGCTGCATTTGTTTAAATTGTTCATAAAATAATTCAATTAACTTCAAATGACTGTCGGAGAGGACTCTGGTAATTGCATGACCTTTGGGAAGAATAATTCAGTGCCTCAGAGATCGTTCTTGTTTTCTTCATAAGCTCCTTGCAGTGTTCCCAGATGAGTGAATCTAACAGACAGCAGGGGAATTACTAAACGTTACCAGTATAAGTTATATTGTGAGGTTTCATGTGTTGACATACTATTTATTCCCAAGAACACTAAAAAAGGTGGTGAATAGACCATGAGAAAGAAGGAAGTGTGGACTGTGTATGTGTGAATTTATTAATTTGTGTTTCCATCCCTGTCAATACAATAAATGAAAGTGGGAGAACCCTGCCCCCATCGTATAGAAAACATTGATTCACCAGAAAACACAAGTTAATTCATCTTCATTTTCTTCCCCTCCTTGCAGGCTAAGAGCACTTCTTACCTTACTGAACTGTCCAACCACATGCTTTAGAATATTGGGAGGAGCATCATAGAGAAACGGCTCCAGGGCTGGTAAATAGGTGCATTTCTGTAAGATACTCTTTATGGCCTTTTTACTCTATTAAAACACACAGCAAAATACATATCAAAATAAGCAATCCATTAAAGCTTGACCAGATTTCATTTCTCGTGTTTCTGGAATTTCCTGAACTAAGCTGCAATTGTTTCATTTTAAAAAATAGTTGTCAGAAAAACTATCTTTCATTGGTTTTATCATAGAACTAGAGGCCCAGTGCATAAATTTGTGCATGGGTGGGTCCCTCAACCTGGTCACTGATCAGGGCCAATCCGGGCCCATCTTACCCTGACTCGATAGGGCCAATCGGGGTCAGAAGGTTGGCCAGCTGAGGGGAGACACCACAGGAGGTTGGCCATTCTTGGGAGGTTGGAAGATATGGAATGATGGCAAATGGAGGAATAAAAATGTCCTAAAATTAAACTGAGGTGTGGTTGCACAATTCTGTGAATATACTAAAAGCCAATGAATTATACATTTTCAATGGGTAAACTATATGGTATATGAATTATATTTCAGTAAAACTGCTAAAAATTAAAGGGAAGAACCATCAAATAATTATCTTAGAAATAGTTTTATAACAAAAGTGATAGAATGAACTTATTCAAATGCCAAAATTAACATTTCAATAGGATGCCTCTAAGTCAAAACAAGTGAAAATGCAATTGCCTGAATATTTAAAATATATATATATGGGTAAGCTTATTAAAAAGATTTATTTTTTTTCAGTTTTTAATCAGGTATTTGAAATAACATATGTACAGTCAGAGAGTAAGACTATATAAAAATATGCAAGAAATTCCAAGGGATTGCTCATTGGTTCTCTTGGATCAGAACCAATTAGAGAATGCTTATAGAAGTTGACGTCTTTGGGACAAAAATAAACTTAAACATGGCCTTATAATTTGAAATATGCCACAGAGTAACAAATGAGAAATACCATTAGACAGTTCCTGAAGCTTTTGGTTGCATTTTGAGTTAACGTTAAATCAAACAGACTTGATCTCTCATCCAACAACTTATAGAATCTAAGAGACATTGGGGAAGAAAAGAAAAAGGATGATCAAGTCTCTACATTAAGAAAATGTTTGCATGGACGTAAAGCAAGCATATATTGATAAAACTCGCAGCCTGAAGGCTGCATGCAGCCCACAATGGGCAATATGCTAATTGAATTGGGAGACCTTCTGGACGTCCTTCCAGACAAAGTTACCGTGGCAGGACTGAGGCAGAGGCAGTTAGGGGTGATCAGGCCAGGAAGGGAGGGCAGTTGGGGGCAAGCAGGGTGGTGGTGGTGGGGCAGTTGAAGGTGATCAGGTTGGCAGGTGGGGGCAGTTGGGGGTGATCAGGCCAGCAGGATGGGGCAGTTAGGGATGTCAGGCAGACAGGTGAGTGGTTAGGAGCCAGAGATCCTGGATTTCGAGAGGGTGCAGGCTGGGCTGAGGGACACTCCCCGTCCCCCCTGTATAAATTTTGTGCACTGGGCCACTAGTAATGAATAACGAACTACAACATTTGCTAATGATGGATTACTATAATCATGTTGCACTCGTTTCCCTTACGCACCTTATGAACAGGTGCACCATTTCTCTCCACTAATACTAGCAGCTAATATTTTAGCAGCTGATTGCCATGTCATTAGTCTTGGACTGACTTGTTTGGTGTGTGCAACCGGAAATATTTTGCTTTTGGAGTACAAGAAAAATAGGTTTATTTGCATTTCTTATTAATTTATACAGTTATTCAGTGTCTGCTAAGTCAATATTCAAGACAATATATTACTTTTTATTAAAATGTTCTATTATTTAATGTTAATGATTACTCATTTATTTCAGGCCTTTGTATTCAGCATGTCTCTAGAGAAATAAACCTACTTTTCTAGGAAAATTGAAGCTTTCTTCTTTAAAGTTAAACCTTGTTTATTTGGCCTGTGTTAGCCTTTTAGTTTGATATGCTTGACTTAAAGCCTTGGAAGATTGCTAACAGTACAATGATTGATAGACTTTAATTTAATACCTAGTGTATTTTCTAAAAGTAAATATTATATCAAATATAGGCAGGAGGAACCTTAACTTCTATTAGTAAACCTAAATATTTTACTAAAACCACCTTTGTTAAAATAAAACACAATAAAAATTATGTTTTACTCCAGTGATATTTATACATCATAATATTATTATAATTTATTTAAAGCTAAGTTATATATATAAACTCAGTAGTATATAAAGTATATGGGATGGGCAAAGAAGGTTTACAGTTGTGAGTATGTGAAACAGTTTATTCTTGCATTATTAATTAATTACTATATTTATTTGTATTATAATTATAAACCAACTTTTGTCCATCTATTTGTTAATTTGTTATTTTAATTAAAAATTAAATATAATTTAACACTTAATTTTACTTTGAATTATTGTCTTTTTTGTGAACTTCTTTAAATCCAACTCAATTCTAAAAGTTGTTTTAAAAAAATAACTTTCTGAATGAGGTAGTGTATTCTTTCTTTAAAATTCTATAATTATTAAACAACCCATCTTACTTTATAGTCATGTTTTGTGAATCATTTTAGTAGCTTGTAATATTTTTTCAGAAAGCTGGACTTAAAAAATACATATTTTAAAATGTCTAATTTAGTGAATAATGTGGACATTTCTCTTTTAGGGAACAAATTTAAAGACATATAATTTAAAAAATAGGCAGACTTGGAGTTAGGAGAAGTGGATCATGGCTCAGAACACCCCTTGCCGAGTTACATTTACATTTGAAAGCACCTTAAGTTCTTTTGGAATCAAATTTTAAAATAATATATATTTTTATATCAGTTTATATTGATATTTTTATATTTACTTCAGAGAGGAAGGGAGAGGGAAAAAGAGAAACATCAATGATGAGAAAATCATTGATTGGCTACCTCCTGCACGCCTCCTACTGGGGATTGAGATGCAAATGGGGCATGTGCCCTGACCAGGAATCAAACAATGACCTTCTGGTTCATAGGTTGACCCTCAATCATTGAGCCACACCAGCTGGGCTGGACTCAACTTTTAATGTAAGATGGATTTACTCTGCAGCCAATTCTAACTCCAAGATTCTATCAATATTATTCTTCAATGCCTATTCTATAAGAAAAAGCAACAGGTGTGTAGAAGGCAACAACCTGACATTCATGTCACAAACAACTTTGCATCTGCAAAGATCTCTCTTTAAAACATATCACTGGTGTTTAGAGACAAGGGTAACCCATTTTCAAAGAAGACTCTCAGTTTTTCTGATAAATTTGTATTTCTTGACTCATAAAAACAATATTGTCCATAATGAAAATTAAGATATTTTAAATTGCACATTGAGTCAAAATCTAACAAATCTTCACGAAACTATAAGAATTAAGCACTTGCTTTTACTTGAAGATCCTCAGAGCTTTCAGGCGACATGTACAAAGACAGCAGCACTGGCAGAATGTTTGTGACTGCGACGGCCCGTGCATGCTCCGGAGTGTGTCTCCCGATCTGTGCCAAGGCCCAGGCAGTGGCAGCCTTAATGTGATCTTCTGGTTCTTCGGACAAGCAGACTGACAGCTGGGGCACACCCTGCAGCGTTGGTCAAAAGAGCAAGTGTTATGAACCCAGACCAGGATGAGAGAGTCTCTATGTCTCAAACATTAGAAGAAATCATTTGACCTTGATCTTTCCCCCTAGATGGTTCAATGAATGGGCACAGCACAGGGGCTGTCACTTTTCAAGTCAATAAAATGACTAGAGCAAATTTACCTTAATTATTTGTTACAATTCAACTAAATTATCTGTGATAGCATTTACTTACCAAATACAGAGGTATTTAACCAAACAATAGGTGCCACAGATTAGTATATAGGCAAAGCCAGATTTCACTGTGATAAATTTAAATGCTTAGATTTTAAAATATTTTATTTTTACTTTGTTAAAAAACTTAATTTAGAACCCTTTAAAATTGCCTTTTCACTAAGTATAATAGATCTGACAACAAAACAACTATAGATTTGAGATCCAATGAATAATATGATCCAGAATTCTACTTAAGTAACTTTTAGATTAAATATGTTCACTAAGACTTTTCCTGAACTAGTAAATAAATGTTCATTAATTTTGGTCATATTTTATTTTATTTTAAATACGTTTTTTAAATTTATTTTATTTTAGAGAGGGAGAAAAGAGAGAAGAGAGAGAGAGAGAAAAGGAGAGAGAGAGAGAGAGAGAGAGAGAGAGAGAGAGAGAGAGAGAGAGAGAAACCTCCCTGTGAGAGAGGAATCATAGATTGGCTGCCTCCTGCATGCCCCATTCTAGGGATTAAGCCCTCAACCCAGGCATGTGCCCTGTCAGAATTGAGTGGTGACCTTTTGTTGTATGGGATGATGCTTAACCAGGGCATGGTCAACTTTCTTTTTTTTTTAATATATTTTATTGATTTTTTTTTTACAGAGAGAAAGGGAGAGGAATAGAGAGCTAGAAACATCGATGAAAGAGAAACATTGACCAGCTGCCTCCTGCCCACCCCCTACCAGGGATGTGCCCGCAACCAATGCACATGCCCTTGACTGGAATCGAACCTGGGACCCCTCGTCCAGAATTGGATGCTCTATCCACTGAGCCAAACCGGTTTCCGCCATGGTCAACTTTTAAGTGATAGCTTTGCCCATTTTAACACGACTGAATGTCAAAACAGAAATTATTACTTTTGTTACACAAATAGTGCATGCTTGCATTTTGCATTTCAGGCTTCAGTTTTATCTAATTAATCAAAACAGAATTAATTAAAAGGCCTCAAGTACATCTATTTCTACAATATATCTAAGGGAGAATCCAATTGCCAAATCAAATTATAATTCCAGATTCTGTATAGGAATAACTTTCTAATTAATTTGAGACTATAATAATGATCACCTTAAATTCAGTACCACTAAAGTCAATGTCACAGCATCATGCAAAACCCCAATGATCATGTACACTTTTCCCCTCTGTGCCTTTAAATTTGTTTTATTAAGACCAATTTTCTCAAGAGACTTGCCGTATTTCTTCCTTGGCTTCTCTTTTTCCAACTAAAAATGTCTATCTGCCAATACAAAATGTTAGATCTGTCTTCAGAATGAGGCAACTTTCTAGAAAGGCCATATTCTGGGACATAACAAGACTGAAGAAGCAGGAGGAAAAGATGTCAGCCTCCTCCACCCCAGCCTCAGTTGTTATGAATGAATAGTGAGATAAGAAGCATGAATGTGCTTTGAAAATTATAAAGTATTATTTACACATGAAGTACTGCTACTAGTCCTTAGAGTTCTATGTGGGAAAAAGAATGACTCATAGCTGTGTGGTTTTTCTCAACTTTAACTGAGATCTTCAACTAACTGAGTGACAATGAGGTGGACGAGGCCAGCAGCAGCCCTGGACCAAAGGAGGGGGGAACCTCCTGTTTAGTTTGGAGAGGAAATACAGGAAGCAAAAGCAATCGCTGCTTCTTTCATCATTCTGCGCATATATATATATATATATATATATATATATATATATATATATGCTTTCTGAGATCCACAAAAGAACCAAGAATCAAAAATCCCAGTGCTATCTCCACAGTCACCCTTCAGAAAGCAGAACTCCTGTTCTAGTCACTATAATAGTCTGTGGTAATAGAAGAACAAAAGGAAAAGCGTAGGATAAAAAGTGAGTTAAGCAAAGAATTATCAAGGAATAGGTAGGAAATAAACATCTGAGGCTCCCTTTTATTCTGAGGATTAGCAAGGGATTAAAAAAATTCCTCACTTCTATTTAACACACAGCAGCAGATTTTCTATGCTGATGAGAAACCTGAACCCCAGGGCAGTGGTCGGCAAACTGCGGCTCGCAAGCCACATGCAGCTCTTTGGCCCCTTGAGTGTTCTAATGCCACTTCTTCAAAATAGACTCTCCCAGGCCAAAAACCGACTTCTGCGCATGGGCCACAAAGTTTCAGTCTCATGGTATGTGCATGCCCGCACGTGGTATTTTGTGGAAGAGCCACACCCTAGGGGCCAAAGAGCTGCATGTGGCTTGTGAATTGTGGTTTGCCGACCACTGCCCTAGAGGGTTGCTGGAGACACTGTAAGCACACAGCTTCTGAAGTGTTTCTCAGGAGATCAATACTTTTTCATTTAATCAATATTTCTGGGCACCTACTATGTGTCAGGGATACACTGTATGTTGTGTTAATACCAAGTTATAAATTGAAATCTTAGAGCAAAGACACAAAACATCACTATCTGACGTGAGCTCTGAATTGCCTACATCTAAAAAGAGAAATTAGTTCATGAAAGCTGAAGGAAAGTGGATAAAAGGGGATGTTCTAGCCATTGTCATCTCCTGCCCAAATGGCAGGTAAGGGATGCATGACCACCTGGCATGTAATTTATAAGAATGGTCTTTAGCCAAAGTATGCTTCACATGTTTGTAAATATGTAGGTTACAAATACACTGCAGGTGTCAATAAAGGTAACACTAATACTCAGAGGTATTGATATTTTGCAGATATTAACTACTGAGTAAAACTATAAACTGCCTGAAAGTAAAACTTACTACAAGCATTTCTTTTGGAAACTTTCTAATGAACCCTGAATAATGCCTCAGGTTTCTTTCTCTCTGGTCAGTTACGTTTGATGATGGGTGGGAGAGTATGCCCGTGGTTCTGTCTTGGAATGACTCACTGCAGTAACGAGAAGAAAGCCGAGCAAGGACACACCTTGCTGATGATCACCGCCATGGCCAGGTTCTCAGAGTGAGCCGCCACGTAGCCCAGCATCATGATGCCAGGCAGCCGGATGTTCCCTTTGCAGGACCCGATGCAGTCGATCACGGCCGCCACGCCGCCTGCGTTCACTATCAGCTGCGAAAGCTGGGGAAGGAAGGTGACTGTGAAGCATACGATGATTAAACACTACTTCACTATTGTCAAACACTTTTACTTAGGACCTGAAAACACCCGGTAAAGTTTGAAATAAGATTTAATGCGATTTCTATAATTATTAAAAAATACAAATATAATAATCCAAATTTTTTTGTGTGTCAATCCTCACCCAAAGACATTTTTCCATTGATTTCTTTTATTTTAATCTTTATTGTTGAAAATATTACATAGGTCTTCTTTTTCCCCCATTAATCTCTTCCAGCCTGCTCCCATCCTCCTCCGACCCTTGAAGGCCCTCACTACCCCATTGTCTGTGTCTATGGGTGTTATGCATATATGCATACAAGTTCATTGACTGATCTCTTCCACTTACCCTCCCTTGCCTTCCCTCTGAGGTTCAAATCTGTTCATGCTTCTATGACTCCGGGTCTAATGTTTTATCAGCAGTTTATTTGGTTCATTAGAGACCACATATGAGTGAGATCATGTGATACTTATCTTTTTCTGACTGGCTTATTTTGCTTAGCATAATACTCTCCAGGTCCATCCATGCTTTTGCAAATGGTGAGAATTCTTTCTTTTTTATTGCCGAGTAGTATTCCATTGTGTAAATGTACCATAGTGTTTTTATCCACTCATTTGCTAATGGGCATTAGGCTATTTCCAAGTCTTAGTTATTGTACATTGTGCTGCTATGATCATAGGGGTGCACATATCCTTTCTGATGAGTTTTTCATGTGTTTTAGAATATATTCCTAGAAGTGAGATGACTGGGTCAAATGGGAGTTTCATTTTTAATTTTTTTAGGAAACTCCATACTATTTTCCACAGTGGCTGCACTAGTTTGCATTCCCACGAGCAGTGTACAAGAGTTCCTTTTCTCCACATTCTCTCCAACACTTGTTGGTTGATTTTTTTTTATGATAACCAGTCTGACAGGTGAGAGGTGATATCTTATTGTTGTTTTGATTTACATCTCTCGGATTAGTGACTTTGAGCATTTTTCATGTGTCTCTTGGCTTTTTGTATGTCCACTTTGGAAAAGTGTCTATTTAGGTCTTTGCCCATTTTTTAATTGGGTTGTTTGTCTTCCTTTTGTTAAGTGGTATGAGTTCTCTATATGATTTGGAGATTAACCCCTTATCAGATGTATCATTGGCAAATATGTACTCCTATGTAGTGGGGTCTCTTGTTGTTTTGATAATGGTTTCTTTTGCAGTGCAGAAACTTTTTATTTTCATAAAACTTTTTATTTTCATAAAAAGTCCCATTTGTTTATTTTCTCCTTAATTTCCATTATCCTAGGAGATGTATTGGTAAACATGTTGCTATGAGAGATGTCTGAGATTTTGGTGCCTATGGTTTCTTCTAAGACTTTTATGTGTCTTACATTTAAGTCTTTTACCCATTTTGAGTTTATTCTTGTGTATAGTGTAAGTTGGTGGTCTAGTTTCATTTTTTTTGCATGTATCAGTCCAATTTTCCCAACACCATCTATTAAAGAGACTGTCTCTGCTCCAATGTATGCTCTTATCTCCTTTGTCAAATATTAATTGAGCATAGTGGTGTGGGTCAATTTTGGGGTTTTCTGTTCTGTTCCATTGATCTATAATTAACCCAATTTTGAATGTACAAATATACTCACTGTGTGGAGTTTACACTGTGCTTCAATTTTCATGCATCGATGGCACAACTTTTATCCCTATTCTAATGGATATCAAAATTTCTCACCCAGACACGTATAAGCCTAGAGCCAGTTCCTAACTAACTAACTACTGAAAGCCTCAATCACAGTTAGTGACTATGAAGCAGATTACTCATTTGAATGCTGAGTGACAATGTCAGACTTGAAATATCTTAGCCTAATTGTCCCACTATGCAAACAGTGATTACTAGCTGATTATTACATTCCAATTATAAAAAATTTCAAGCAAGTGAAGATGTTAAGTGAAATAAAGAATGAGACTTTAAACCTCAGCGAAAGGACAGGACAGCTCCCCATAACAAAGAATTATCTAATGCAAAATGTGCACAGTGCTCTCAATGAGAAGCCTGCCCCAACCAAATCATGTGGTGCAGCAGCTGGGCCTTGTATACAAAATGATGTTTTACTTTACAACGAAAACTAATATATATATATATATATATATATATATATATATATATATATATATATATATATATATATATATATATATTTTTTTTTTTTTTACCTCAGGTGTATGTTTTGCAATCTCTCGAATTAAAGTAGAAGCATTTTTCTTCACATATTCATCTTTGTCCTTCAGGCAGGTAAGTACAACTGGAAAAATCTCTGCTTCTACCACCATTTCAGCCAGATCCACAGAATGTTTTGCAATCTGACTGAGAGCTGAAAGGACCTGACGCTATCAAGCAAAATCCAAAATGAAACAAAGCATTACATAAAGTCCACTGCAGAGATCAGATATAATTTAAGCAGCTTAACACAAATTTCTTTACCAAAAGAAAAAACAATTACATATGCAACATAACATAAGAGTTCTGAGTCTTGAGACATTCATATCCTACCCTTAAACCAAAATACTCAATTTCTTAAATTCCCTAATTTCCATATCAAATGTCACAGTTTTCTGTGGACTATTTAAATCTCTATCACAAATGATCAAGAATATAACTTCTGGATAAATACTATTTCTTAATTATGTAATACTTAAACTGTTCATTTACAATATACGTGGTAATATAGTACAAAAAAAAATCAGGCAGAATGAACATCTTATGTTTGGCATGATGCTGATAATATTTCAAAGAACTTTCTATTGCTTAGTTAACATTAACAATTTTAAAATATTAAAGATATAACTATTAGCATATGAAAGTATAATTGGAGACTATTAACTGAAAATCAGATTTAGGAAGCTATAAAAAAGACAAACAAATACATGACAACTTTCATAACAAACTTAAATATGGCGGTGGGCTAGAAAACCTTTTTTAGGTGCCTTCCCACTTCGAGATTCAATCGTTTTGTGATTCCTTACTTTAGTATTATTAATACTGATGCTACTTCTACTTTTTAGCATTGTACATATTTTACCCAGTCGTGTCTTTATTATCTAATGCTTACAGCATATTTTTCACATATGAAAAGACCAAATACATAACATAACATAGACATATCTGTTTTTAATAATAATTTACAAATTATTTTTGAAAATATATTCATTTGTACACATTTTCCATTCTCATAGATTAACAAAAGTCTGTTTTTAAACTCATTTTTAAATACCTTCAATTTAGCATCAGGGTTCAGAATCATCTGGGCTAAGTGAGCAATAGCTCCTGCATCCACTACTGTCTGTGCTAACTCTGGTGAATGCTTTGAAATATCACTGAGGTCTGAAGCAGCAATCCTTTTCAAAGCAATTTCTGGCTCCTGGATACAAAGCACTAACAGAGGAACTGCTCCCGCATCCACCACGGCTTGTGACAGTTCTGTGGGCCCAAGAAAAGGAAGTGAGTGTGGGTGACTGACCCTCTGCAAGTCATTCTCCCCGACAGATAGAGCAAAGCAAAAAAGGGGAGGTCGTTCACTGTCTCGACATCTGTATTTGCTTCATAAACCATGTGGACCAATCGGAGCTGAAAAGAATACAGGTCAATAGATGGACCTCCATCTACATGAACACATTTGAGATAGATTTGGCTAAAATGGCTTGTTTGTTTTTTTAAGAGAGTACACAGATGCCAGCTGTTGAAGCTCTAACACTTCTGCATTTCTAGTAGGCAAGCATTTTGTACATGGTTTACAATAACAGAGAAAATAGAAGTATCAAAAATTTACCAACCATGCTAATTGGGTAGTATTTTATACTATTTATATGAGTAAAGATTAACATGAATCTTGTGCTAATAATGTCAATTTTTAAAATATCTTCATCTTACAGTATTTTAAAAACTCCAAGGCTTGAGTTTCACAATGATCTCCACATTTATCATAAGGTCCTTTAAAGCATGTTTCCATTTCAAGATTGGGGAGGGGAGCAAATAATTAAAATTACAAATAAACCATTGTAATGTTTTCAGTTCCTTGTTGTATTATGAAGAAAATCCTTGAAATCAGCAATAATAGAACTTCCATTCCTCAAGAGTCCCCACTCTGGAATAGGATTTTATTTTGGGTTTGTCTAAAATATATTTTTTAAAATATATTTTAGACAAACCCAAAATAAAATATATTTTATTGATTTTTTTACAGAGAGGAAGGGTGAGAGATAGAGAGCTAGAAACGTTGATGAGAGAGAAACATCGACCAGCTGCCTCTTGCACACCCCTTATCGGGGATGTGCCCGAAACCAAGGTACGTGCCCTTGACTGGAATTGAACCTGGGACCTTTCAGTCGGCAGACCGACGCTCTACCACTGAGCCAAACCGGTTTCGGCTTTAAAAATATATTTTAAAGCCCTGACGACTGTGTGTCTACCCATGCACCAGAAGGTCACCTGTTCAATTCCAGTCAGGGCACATGCCCAGCTTTCAGATTGGGTCCTCGGTTGGATCAATCCCATTAGTATTATGTAGTGACCTTTCTTGTCTCTTATGATGGCTTTAATTTTAAAGTCTATTTTGTCAGATATAAGTATTGCTACTCCAGCTTTCTTTTTCTTTTCCATTTTCATGGAAAATTTTTTCCCATCTCTTCACTTTCATTCTATCTGTGTCTTTTGTTTTGATGTGGGTCTCTTATAGATAACATATAGTTGGGTCATATTTTTGTATTCATTCAGCTACCCTACCCCTTTTAATACATTTAGGGTTATTATTGAGAGCTACTTATTTATTTTGAATGATAGCCTTGATGGACATAGTAACCTTGTTCTCAGATCCTTGGTTTCCATTACCTCGAGTACGTCATGTGATTCCCTTCTGGCCTGTAGAGTTTCTAATGAGAAATCAGGTGTCAGCATTATGGGAACTCCTTTGTAGGTAAGAATTTTCTTTTATCTTGCTGCCTGTAAGATTATCTCTTTGTCTTTAATTTTTGGCTTTTTAATTATGATGTGTCTGGGCATGGGTCTTTTTGGGTTCTTCTTGTTTGGGGTTCTCTTTGCCTCCAGAACTTGTGTGACTTTTTCCTTTACCAGGTTAGGGAAATTTTCTGCCATTATTTCTTCAAACACCTTCTCTATGCCTTTCTGCCTCTTCATTGTCTCACAGTTCCCTTAAGCTTTCTTCCATTTCTAATTTTTTTTCTTCTTTTTGGTTCTCTGATTTAGTGATATTTTCAACTGTCTTCTAATTCACTGATTTGATCCTCAGCTTCCCTTATTTTGCTGTGTATTTCTTCCAATGTGTTCTTTGTGTTATATCATTCTTTATCTCAGACTGTTATTTTTTCATAGTTACTATATCTTTTTTCATACTGTTGAGCATTTTTACCATCAGTACTCTGAACTGTATTTCAGATAAATTTCTTATCTCTGCTTCATTTATGTCTTCTTCTGGAGAATTCTCTAGTTCTTTCATTTTGGGATTGTTTCTTTGTCTCCTCATTTTGGTTGTCTATTTGGGTTTGTGACTATGTATTAGCTAGGTCCTCTACAGCTCTCAATCTTTAGTGCAGGACAATGTTAAAGGCTATTTCTGACTAATTGGATCAGGCAAAGATTCAAAGCCACCAAAGATGGCCTCTCCCTACGGATTAATAGGATTCTGATTTGAATTGCCCCCAGGCAATCATCCTGAAGTGTAGTGAGAGTTTTTTCAAAAGGGTGGGGCAGTTGCTTCTGCCTGGAGGTTGATCGTTACTTTTAATCTCTTAAGTGGCTTCAGGGCAAGGTGTTTTCCATTACAGTATGTCGATTGTCTTCCCCTCAGGCTAGGCAAATGTCTATGTGAGAAAGATGTCCTCTGCTGTGTGAGGGAATGACTCAGCAAGAAACTTGGGGTGTCTGCCTTCTGAGCTCTATTCCCTGACTCCCCAGTCCTGGGTTCTGCTCTCATAGTTTCAGTCCACTTCACCTTCCCTCTGACAGAACATAAGGTGGGTGGCTTCAAAGAGAATTTTTATGCGTTGGCCCTCAAGAGGGTGCCTGAACTTTTAGCTGCCACATCCTGGCAGAAAGCACCCACTGCTTTTCCTCAGATTTGATGCTCTCTGCTGAGGAGCCTAATTTGAGGATTAGATCCTAGAGTTCTCAGTGGCACCCCGCCCCCCCTCACAGCTGAGATATCTCTCTAGGACTTTGTGTTATATCATTCTTTATCTCAGACTCTTCTTTTTTTCCATAGTTACATCTTTTTTTCATACTATTAAGCCTTTCTGCTATCTGTGGGTGCCCAACCAGCCCTTCCACACCTCTGCTCCTCCTACTAGTTTCTATGCTGTCTCCACTCTTGATCCTTGGGTATCAGGTTTCTCTCCTGTGAGTTTTTCTTTTTTTTTCTTTTTTTATTTTTTTTAATTAAATTATTATCTGTGCACATATTTTAACATTGCCCCCCCCCCCCCCATACATACCCTCTCTCCCCAGAGTTTTGTGTCCATTGGTTGTTTCGTGAGTTTTTCATTGATTATTCAGGAAGCCTTTCCATATTTCAGTTGTAATTCCAGCTTGTTCCAGGGAGCATGTCCATGCAGCATCCACCTACTCTGCTGCCAACTTTAATCTTGATAACAATTCCTTTTCCTTCAGAGAAGTCCATGCAGTAATCTCCTCTGGGAACTTCTGGGTCCCAGGCCTTTAAGTACCATTAGAGGGGGGATTCCATGTGGGAGCTGGTTATAGCAAAAACAATTGGAATGGAATCCCTCAACAGACCCTATATTATAAGGCATTTCTTTATTATCATTTAGCCTCAAACTTAAGAAAGGGGAGGTCTGGAAAGGTTACCTATGGGCACCTGCCTGAGAATGTATCTACACAGCTGTCTCTCCAAACTTTTTGGCACCACCCTTTGTAATACTCATGTTACAGTCTGTTTACCATTAAGACCTCTGGCTTAAAAAAAATTACTAAACACATGCGTGTAGTTTCCCCATTATAACCAGCTTCTGATTTAAAACAATGCCTTAGTTTCCCCAATCAATATGTATTAATCAATAGTCTTAAGGTGAACCCACCTGGGAAACCAAAATTCCAGATATGAAGGAAATAATTTTAATATACTAATTCTGAACCATTCTAAGCATGATAATAATGTTCTTTCTCTATTTACTTTTATATCACTTTATTTCTTTTTGTCTCCAATAGTGTCACCACTTTAAGAACCATATTAAACATAACCACAGTAGAACTTCTTACTGTTTCTGTTTTGACTTCCTTCTTCAATACTTTCACGAAGTACTCAGTGAAGCTTGAATGTCACAATGATTAAGATGGGCTTGGATTCAGACAGATTTAGACTCAAATTCCAGTTCTGCCTTTAACATAATGTCAGACATCCTCTCTAAGCTCCACTTTCTTCCTCTGTTTAACAAGGTGAGTAATACCTACCCTAAGGGTAGCACCGTCAAAATGAAATAATGTATTTGACATATACAATATAGAGCCAGGCACATAGTAATTACTCAATAAATGGTAGCTAATATTTTATACACGTATACACATTAAAATCTGGAAAAAGAAGAAAAATATCCTTAATTCTATCACCTTAGTAACACAAACACGAATCTCTTTATAATTTATGTCCACATAAAAATTTATTTTTATCCTAGAGGCCCAGGGCAGGAAATTCTTGCATGGGTAGGGTCTCTAGTGGCTGCCAGCTGCCGGCCAGGGCCTTCCTTCATTCCATATTGCCCCCTGATGGTCAGTGCACATCACAGCAAGCAATTGAACCCTGTCAGTCAAACTCCCACGGGGACAACTTTGCATATTAGGCTTTTATATATAGATTATTATAACTGGAATATACAATTTTGTCTTTTTTTTTCTTTACATTATAGTCATCTTTTCATGTTACCATGTAGGATTCACAATTGCCTTTTTAATTTGTTGAATCAAAGTCTATTATATAAACTACCATAATTTAACCTCTGAATTTCCTGCAGAATAGTTGAGGTTTTTTGATATTATGAATAATGCTCCGATAACATTTGCATGAATATAGTTTTTCATTATGTGAAATTCTTTCCTTAGGATGAATTCCCAAAGCATTCTTTTTAGAGTAACCATAAACTCTTTTGTGACTTAGATTAGTTTTAACAAACAACTTTCCACATGTTGACCCAATTTGTAGGGCATACACATTATCAAGTCCTCTCCAACTTTCAATATTAATACTAATACCTTTCATTTATTGAGTATTGATCATGTATTTTCATCCTCACAACAAATCTTGAATAACTCTGAAGTATTTACCCTCTTTTAGCACATGAGGAAGTAAAGGTTCAGCAAGTTAAAAGCCATATCCAATGTCAAATAGCAACTAAGCAGGAGAACTTGGACTCAAACTAGGTCTTGTCTAATGCCACAGTGCCCTTAACCACTTGCTTATAGTTCTGCTTTACTCTTTCCCGGCCAAGTAATAACAGGTGGGAAAAGCCATTTGCACCAATATTTTAATATGCAGTTCTTGATAACGAGCAAAGTGATCATTTTTGCATATTAGTAAAACTGCATATTCTTGTGTTACTTGTTTATGTTCTTTAGCAACTTCTATAAAGTGGTGGGGCAATTTTGGTCCCTATATATCTTTTACTAATCAGGTGTGTCAGCACAGCCTTCACATGAGCTGTCAGTTTTGAAGAGAAGGTGATTCTTTTCTTTCTCCCTCTTCCTGTCCAATGTGGGCAGAATACAAACATGTTCTAGAAAGTTAAGTCGAGGTCTTTTCAACATTACTCACTCATATGATATGGCGCTGACTGATTAGGAACACCCTGGGTTAGGAGGAAGAGTGAAGACTCAACCTACCCTGAGGAGTGACAATCTAAAATAATTCTTAACTGAACCAATTTATCAAGGTTTTTGAGAATATCTCATTTGTCCCCTTTCCCACCCCATCCCCTTTCTCTTTCTGTCTATAAATTTCTCTTCTGCTAACTAAGATAAGACTGGAATGTGTTGATTTTTTTTGTGTGAATTTGTAATCCAAATAACTTGGGCATCACTCAAAGATTATCTCCCATAATGTATAGAAGCATGATTAGAACCTCACTTATGCTTTATTAAGCAAAACCAGACTTACCTAGTAAATATATACTTTAATAACCCCACTTTAAAATATGCCCCATTACCTGAGTTATGTCTTGCAATATATCCAAGAGCCCAGGCTGCAGCTTCTTTGACTCCTGGGTCAAAATCTTCTAAGCATATCACTAGTGTGTCCAGTGCTCCACAGTCCACGATCGCCTGGGCTAGCTGTGGGGAGTGCTTAGCAACTGCTCGCAACACAAAGGCAGCTGCTTTCTTGTAGAAACGCTAACAAGGATTAAATAGATAAAGCACAAAGTGAGTTGAGCACTTATACAATGAAAGTTTAAAAAAACCAAAACCAACGTAATAATAACATTAATATAACAAAGATCAAACGCTTTTAAATACTAAAGAAAAACATCCTGTAACATCATTTTGATTTGTAGACATTCCTCATTGCTTTCGTTCAGTAACTAAACAAAAACAATGCAAGTCATATTACATTTCAAATGTTTTACTCTAAAACATACATTTATAAAATATTTTATTTCCTGCAAATTTTATTTTCTAAAAATTCATAAAGCACTGAGATTTTTATGTGTCTGCATTACACTGAAGGTATTTGTTTGACACCTGAAACATGTTGGATTGTTAACATATGAAAGAAACTAAACTGTCAACTGGCAAATTCGTTTCCTTCACTTGCCCTCAGTCTCTAAGGCTGGTAGGCCTTTCATAACCTCAAATCATCTTTCTGGTGTCCTAAATTTAAAGGCAAACATCCATGATACATTTTAACACTTTTTCTGGCAGCCCTGGCCGATGTGGCTTAGTTGGTTTGGTGTTGTCCAGGGCACTGAAAGGTTGCTGTTTGATTCCCAGTCCATTATGGGTTCGATCCCCAGTAGGGGGCATACACAAGGCAGCCAATCAATGTTTCACTGTCACACTGATGTTCCTCTCTCTTTCTCCTTTCCCCCTGCCTGAAATATTTGTATACATATTAAAAAAACACACCTTTTCCTGGCAAATAAACTAGTCAAATAATGAGATATGTTATTTATCCCTTTTTAGAAATGCTTTAAAAAAAAAGATAAATACAAATGACTATTATGTGAATGCTTTATATTTACAATATTTTCTACATATAAACTTTATAAGGTTAAGAAATAAAACTGAAACTTGATTTTCTTTAAATAGCTAAGAAAATTAAATGTTTAGGAAGTGTTTAGCTGTAACACACACTGTGGTTTTATGGTGCACATAATTACATAGCAGTGGTCTCCTAAATCTTCTTTTAACAGAATCCAGTTAACCCCACATTTAAGATTCTGTTTCTGTTTCTTTACAGTGACTACTAAAAAGTGATTGGGTGTTATAGCACCTGTTTTGAATGCATTCCATTTACTTAGGCTAAAATATTAAGATGCAAAAAATTTATAAGAGAGAAAATATACCAAGTATATTTTTAACATTATAGCTCAAAAACTGGTATGTATTGATGATGTAAGCCATATATTAGCCCCGGCTGATATGCTAAGTGGTTAGAGCTCTGGAGCAGGGGAGAGTAGCAGGCTCAACTCTGGTCAGGGGCAAGTACCTGGGTTGTAGGTTCAACCTCTGGTACTGATCTGGGTGCATGTGGAAGGCACCCAATCGATGTCTCTTTCTCACATTGATGCTAGTCTCTCTCTCTCTCTCTCCCTCTCCCTATCTTCCTCACTGAAAATCAATGGGAAAAAAATCTCCTCAGGTGAGGATTAACAAAACAAAACAAAACAAGAAATATGCTACTTAGTAATGCTGCTTTAATTTCATGTATTTCTTTAGTTTCTTAAATGTAACACATGTAGATATTTAAATATTTGTTGTAAAGTCTAATTTTAAGTAGGTAAACCAAATAGTTACTAATTTATTATAAGAACTAGAGGCCTGGTGCATGAAATTCATGCATGGGGGGGTGTCCCCTCAACCCAGCCTGCACCCTCTCCAATTCGGGACCCCTCAGGATCAGGTCTAAACTGGAAGTCGGACATCCCTCTCACAAACCTGGACCGCTGGTTCCTAATTGCTTATCTGCCTGCCTGCCTGCCTGCCTGCCTGCCTGGTAGCTCCTTACTGCAACAACCCCCCTCCCCCCTAGCTCCCCCTCCCCCGCCAGCCTGATTTCTCCTCACTGTCTCTGCATGATGGCCTGATCACCTCTAACTGCCCCCTGCTGCCAGCCAGGTTGCTCCCAACTGCTCCCTCCCAGCTGGACTGGTCGCCCCACATAGCCTCCTTGTTCAGTCATTTGGTTGTCCCTCACTAACCCCCCTGCCGGCCTGGTCATTGGCAGTCATCTCAGGAGGGTGTGATGTTTAATTTGCATATTACCTCTTTATTATATAAAACTAAGGGAAAACTAAGAGTTTTAAAGTAGCTCTTTCTACAGATTTTCTTATAATTGTGTAAAAATTAATGGTGATGCATTTCTTCTCATTGCTTTAAGCTATTTTAACTTATTATATTGGAGAATTTTCAAATTCACTGACAAATCCTTGGGTTTTAATTGTCACTACTAACTACAGAGCCTTAAAAGGCCTGACATGCTTGCATACTTGGTAAAAATGCTTCACTAAACCTTCCATAAATACATTCTCCTTTTTTTTTTTTGATACTTATCTCCCCTCACTTTAAAGCAATTTCCTACAGTTGCCATTAACCAAATTTCCCCTGTATATAAAGATTTCTGTAAACAACTTTCTGTTTGCCTAAGGCTTTATATACCTAAGGCTGATCCTATAATTTTAACACTCCCACACACAGAAATACTGCTTGATGTATAATTCCATTAAGTTTTAAAATCTCTTTCTCTTTATATTAACAATAATGGAAAAAACCTCAAGTAGACTGCCCTAAGGATATTATGTTCAGTTCAAATAATTGAATGTAATGTGCATTAACATCCTAATAATTCTAATGCCTACAAGCTTGCAAATGTACCTAAACTACCCAATTTTCTAAGTAAAAAACATAACTTATTTTAAAAGAATTCTTACATTCTGTTCTGCCAATGAATAAACAAGCTGTGGAAGAATGTCGCCTTTGACAACTGCCTCCGCCAGGTCGTCATTGTAATTAGCCAGCCTCCCAAGCGCCAGAGCGGCCGTCTGCTGGATGGTGGGGACCACGTCCAGAAGGAGAGGCCTCAGCAGAGACATGACACCTGAGTGACATGGTGAAAGGACACAAACCAGCAAAACCTAAGTTAAAAAGCAAACGTACAATTTCATATTTACAAATATGAAAACGAAGGGAAAAAAATCAGCAAAAACAATTAGCCACTAAAAAAACGAATGGGATGTTTAAAAGCATATAATCGGCCAAGACACAGAATATAACCTGTAATTATCAAAGAGCAGCATAGTGTGGCAATAAGAACGGCTGTGGGGCTAGAGAGGATTTTAAATCCCTGATTGGTAAACACTAGCTGTGACCTGAAAGGCTGTCACGAGGGAGGAAGAGAAAGGTTGTGAAGCACATTGGCACAGAGTATAGGCTGGTTCGCCTCCCCGCTTACGTCCCTCCCCCTCATCTTTGCAAATTCTGTCTTTCAGGGCTCAGCTCAGATTATTTCCTCTCAGCAAAGTCTTTCATTTGGCTAGGACCTCACATTCATGAAGGACTACAAATCATATTTCTGACATTATCTCCAAAAATAAAATCTTTAATATAAGAAAGTATATCGTATTATTGGGTCTCACAATATTCATTTTAGGACTAAATACAGAGAAGGTGTATCATCCTCACAACAATAATAAAAGTAGCTTATATTTATGGAGCACTTGTATGCATGCATTGTTCTAAAGATTTCTTTTCCAAATTAATCCACTGACCTCTCATAACAGACCTATGATGTAGGCCTTATTACTATGTCTATTTTACAGATAAGGGCATGTAGTCAGAGAAAGGTTTAAAAAATTATCACACAACTAATAGGTGGTGGAGCAAGGTTAGAAATTCTGACATTTCTTTATTTATAATTGCTAAGCAAATAATATGTATTAAAATTGAAGAGGTAGGAAGGGGGAGATAAATAATAATGGCATTTTGGTCATTTCATTGGATATTACATTTTTTAATATTAACTTTGCCTTCCTAGAAATGTATAAAATAGTCAACAGCTATTTGTGCTTTATGATGGTGTGTTAATCTAACTTTATAAGAAAGTTAAAGATGGAATTTAAACTGGAACAAAGTGCCCCTTGATTTTCTAAACTTTATGTAATTTACAGCCAGTTAATCAACTGATGTTATTACATCTTTTCCATAAAAACATATTCCAGCATCTATAAAAGCATATATTACCAATATTCTTTAAAAATATTTTTAATGAGTTCAGAGAGGAAGGCAGAGGGAGAGAAAGATAGAAACATCAATGATAAGAGAGAATCATGGATTGGCTGCCTCCTGCAAGCCCCACTGGGGATTGAGCCTGCAAGCCGGGAATAGGACCATGATCCCCTGCTTCATAGGTCGATGCTCAAACACTGAGACACACCTGCCGCGGCATCAATATTCTTTTTTTTTTTTTTTTAATTATTATTATTTTTTTAATTAATTTTTTTTTACATATTTTAATGATTTTTTTTTTGCCCCCCTCCCTCATCAATATTCTTTTTTAATGTTACATCCAGAAACATTTGAAATAGAATAAAAGAAAAACATTGACTGGTACAATAACATTTAGGATTAGACTAAAGTAAGATAAATAGTATTAACTAAATAACATAAACAGACAGAAATGATGCTTATTTCAGAGACATTTTCATAGCCTCCCACTTCATTTAATGATCATTTCATGTCTACGTTGCTTGGTTAGACCACCTTCTACAAGGCCCCAGTTGCGAGTTTAAAACCTGCACAGGCTGGTTAACTTTGCAGGCACAAAGCAGTCCTGCTCAGGCCTGGGCCGTAGCTCCTGTGAAACAGTTCAGCATGCCTCTGCTCATAAGGGTTGCTTATATTATTATCTATTCTTCTTCTTAGAGATAATTTCTGAAGGACCTCACAACAAAAAGCTTAAAGCACAGAATAAGGTATTAGAATTACTACCAAGTTAACATGGGTTCTTCCTAGAAAGTTGGGTCTAAAACAATTTGTCGAACTCTTCTTTGTAGTTTGCTTTATTACTTCATTTTGTTCTTAATTGTGGTAAAATAAACATAACATAAAAGTCACCAATTAAGCCAATTTTAGTGTACAATTCAGTGGTACTAAGTACATTTCCAATGATGTGTAATCACCACCATCATCTAGAAGCTGTTAAACTGTTTTCTACAGAAGCTGCACCATTTTACATCCCACCAGCAAAGTGCGAAGGTTCAGATTTCTCCACATCCTCACCACCACTTATTTTTCCTGTTTTTTTTTTTTTTTAAATATATTCTTTATTGATTTTTTTTTTTTACAGAGATGAAGAGAGAGGGATAGAGAGTTAGAAACACAATGAGAAAGAATCATTGATCAGCTGCCTCTTGCATACCCCCTACTGGGGCTGTGCCCTTGGCCAAGGTACACACCCTTGTCCTGAATCAAACCGGGGACCTTTCGGTCCTCTGGCCGCAGGCTGAGGATTATCCACTGAGCCAAACCGGTTTCAGCTTCCCTGTTGTTTCAAATTAATAGGCATTCTAATAGGTGTGAAGTGGTATGTCATTGTGGGTTTGATTTACATTTTCCTAGCACTAATGAGGGTGGATGTCTTTTCAAGTGCTTGTTTACATCACCTTTGCTGAAATGTCTCTTAAGTCCTTTGCCCACTTTGTTGAATACAGCTTGACAGTGTTGATAATAAATATGCTTCACTTAAGAAACAAAAGCTGAATTTGTAAACATATATTGAAAGTTTTACACTAAATACATTAATAAGGCAAAAAATATAAAGAATAAGTATTCTCAGAACACAATTAAAAAGAACCACAATTAAAAAAAAAAAAAAGAATAACAATTCCGGTTCATGTTATTCCCGCCCCCCCCCCCCCCGAATCTGTTATTTCCTTTTTTCCTCACTTGATAAATTTATGTGAAGGAAGTCACTTATTGTCTTTTGAAATATAATTAGAAAATCAATCCAACCTAGGTAGTTTAAATTAAATTCTTAAGAACTTTGACCTTCTATGCTAAGAATTTGATAAATTTATCTCTCCAGGTTTATAGTACTTAATTTGATTATGCGTTTATTATTAATTACAGTATTTAGCTAATTTACGAAGAGTCTCCAATTCTAGAAAATCTCCGTTAGCAATTTTAGCAGTAAAATATTTTACCTCCCAAAGGTATTTCACTTGTTCATATAATCAAAGGAACTTTCTACTTTATATATTCTCTCCTCCGTATTTCCACAGCATTTGGCCCTGGAAAAATAATGTCAATAAAAGAACACATAAGCCCTTTCCTTCTATTCCTGTATTCAATATCCAGATTAGGCTTCTGCATGGAAACTTCTGCTCTGTCACACTTTCCCTATATTTCTTAGTCCAGACAGTAGCACAATAAGGATTTTGAAAAGTTTAAAATCTCTGAACCTATAAAAGTAACAGCTAAAGCTTCCATTTAAAATATCTTTATTTTGCCGAAACCAGTTTCCTCAGTGGATAGAGCGTTGGCCTGCGGACTGAAAGGTCCCGGGTTCAATCCCTATCAAAGGCATGTACCTTGGTTGCAGGCACATCCATAGTAGGGGGTGTGCAAGAGGCAGCTGATCAATAATTCTCTCTCATCTATGTTTATAACTTTCTATCCCTCTCTCTTCCTCTCTGTAAAAACTCAATAACAAAAAATAAAAAAAAAATATCTTTATTTTGGGGGGTAGGGCAGGTAGAAGTGGGTAAACAGGGAATAAATTGTGATGGAAGGAGATTAGACTTTGGATGGTGAACACAAAATACAATATACAGATAAAATTAGTTATAGAATTGTACAGTTGAAACCTATATAATTTTATTAACCAATGTCACCCAAATAAATTCAATAAAAATAAATAAATGTCTTTGTTTGAATAAGATCATTCTTATTAGAGAAAATACTGCCCCAAATTTATACTCCTTAAATTTTCCTTAGTGCTTTATAATCATTAAATTCCAGGGACCTGGTTTTTTATTTTATCTTTTACACAGAGTAAGCATGGAGACTTTGTTACAGTTACAGGTTTGTTCTAAAAATGCGACAATGATCCAAGAGATGAGGGTAGGGGATGGGGGTGGAAGAGGAGAAAGGTTGAGGGAAGGTGGAGAGAAAAGGAGAAATTAAGTAAATATGACATAAAAATAAAATTTTCCTTACCTGCCTGTCCATTAGAAATCCATAGTAATTGATCCTTGGTGAGCGAATGCATGAAAATTTAGAGTCCATCAATTACAGCAGTCTGAATAGTTGCTATTCAGATATACAAGGTCCCTAGGGAGCAGCTAATGACCTCATGGGGAGTCTACACTGAAGGAGCCAACATGATCTATCTAATACCTAATATTAAAAGTAATTCATGTATTATACCTAATATTTATAATAAAACAATTTAGTATACTCTATACTAGGGGTGTCGAACTCAATCAGATAAGGGGCCAAAATCTAAAATCCAGCCTAAATCGCGGGCCGAATGGTTTACTGAACAGTCATAAACTGTCATTGAGATGGAAACGCAGTGGAGTGCAGTGATGACAGCTCGGTGCGGGCCACATTGCAAGGCCTGGCGGGACAGATTTGGCCCGCGGGCCTTGTGTTTGACACATGTGCTCTATACAAACTGGTAAACCATTGTGAAACTATTTTTGAAATTTAACTTATAGGATAAATCTTTACAACCCTCTCTCTCCTCCAGCTTTATAGCTTTGAGCTCCTTTTCTATTTTTCTTGTTCTAGTGCCATGCTGGGGACATTGCTGCTAACACCTACACTGCCATCCAGTTAGGCCCCAAACAGAAACAGCCTTGCTGGCCCTGCCCACAATCATTCACTCAAAACACAGGTCAGTGTTTACCAAGTGGCAAGGAGTAGAACTACACAAGAGTTAAGGCAGCTCCTACTCTCAAGGGACTAATAATCAAGTGGAGATTATAAAATAGCCTCGAAATAATCCCAGCTCTTTAATTCCCTTCAGAGCAACAAAGACCTAATTACTTTGATTTTGCATGCCTATTACATACAAAAAAATTACCCATTCATTCT